GAAGAAAAACGCTCCAAAGCATTTGTAGCGTCAAATGGACCGCAGCCTTCGACACACGGCTGATTGTAGAACCGGCCTTAACGACTCGCAAAGCACATCGGTGCCATTCGGTCAATTCGGTGCGACTCGTCGAAGCTATATTCCGCGCTTTTCCTTTGTTGAGACTTAGAACGTGGTACTTAAAACGCACTTAGAACATAATTAATCGTCCTTCCGCGAGTGAGTGTTGCACGAGTTTCGTGAAGAAACGGCAAGAAGGTAGAGAGAGAGAGGAAGAGAGATGCTGGAGGAGAAGGAGTCTGAGCGACATCGGACGATAGCGGAGCAACAGAGTGACGACGACAAGTAACTTACTCTTTATTCATTATTCTTTACTAGCGAAATTATTCGTTTGAATGTATTTTAAAAGATATGAAAATATCAGGAAAAGGAAAGTTTCTTTTTGTGATATGTTTAACGGTAAATCGATATTAGTTGAGTTTAGAAAATAAAGTATATGACAAATCGCGCGGTACGTTTAGCGCACAAATGAGCAATACTATTTATTCTAAAAATACTAAATGGTAGTCAACTGCTTTATAACTCGAAAACTATTGCGAGTTGGACATTCTTTACATACTAAAATTTTCGACTCCGATTAATTCCTGCAAGATATTATTTTAAGTATCGTAAAGTGAATTTGAGACACATTGGATATTCCACTTTAGAATATCGAATATACTTGTTTGCAATGTGTAATCTAATTTTTTTTTTATTAAAAAAAGACGAAGTGTGATGGAATGGAGTGTAAAAAAATTTACTTTTTTAGGACGCGATTGAAATAATTGTGCAACCGCGAAAAGGAAGCGTAATTGGAAGATGAAAATGCCTGACCCACTTTTACATAATCGATACTTATATGTATCATTGTATATGTAAATTAATTTGTCGCGGTGTAAAATATGTAACCGGGGTATGTGTGTAAACATCACATTAGTGCCTGGCGATTAATATTTTATAAATTATTGGAGCTCAATTCCCTATTTTAGTGTGGTTTGGTTGATTGACTAACATGCTAGATGCATGCATGTTCTATTAATTGAGGACTTGTTTTGCGTGGAGCGCAATTATTTTTTCCTTCTAATTTACGTTCTATGCGTGCGATAGCCATAATAATAATCGAGATGGCAACTTCTGTATTATATATGTTACGCATTGTTTATTACGTTCTTTTAATATTTAATACATCTATCCGAATAACAAAGATGTTTCGACATTTTGAAGTTGCAAATACAACTTGAAAATTGGCGATTTAATTTATGCGATTGCAAAAAGGTAAAAGGTTTAGCAGTTAAATCTTTAGCAGTTAAATCGTTTTTGATATCAAGCCTCGCCGGTTTATCTGGCACGTGCATTAATATGCATTCTATTTATTTTCGATGTATTTTAGAAATGTATATGAGAAAAGTCGATTTTTACGTGAGGAGTCGGATTTTAAGTGACAAATCAGATAATTGAGCTTTTTTTAGTGAGAGAACTGTTAACTATTAAAACTATTATTCGCTGTGTGCGCAGAGACTAGTGCTGCCACGGTTAGTGAAATATCGCACTTTTTGATGGAATAGCTGTATGGAATAGCTGTCAACGATTGTGAATATTCGAGCTACGTGTAAACTGTCGTTAGGTAATTTAAATCTTAATTTCAATAATGATATTACAAAAATTATAGTTGAAAAGATTTTTCGAGAGAAATTAACCTACATTTGTTTTAAAGGTTAACCTCTTTCTGACTTTTTGCAATGAATCTTATTATACGAACGGGATTTGGACCTGTCACTCATGACATTAAATTTAATCCAAGTTCAATACCAAAAGGAAAAGCCTTAGCAATATCGCATGTGGTTCGCGTTGAAGAATTGCGTAATGAAAATATAAGCCATTTAATAAGGTGCAGTGTAATACCGCAAACATCTGTCAATGCTATTCCGTACAAGGTACAATTACATGTAAGTATATCAATATTAATGAAATTCAAGTCAATCGTAAATAAATAAAAAAACGTTTAAACAAGAACAAAAAATTATTGTTTTGATTATTTATTCAAAATACATTATTGACGCGTTTTTACACGAAACGAAAGAATCTGGAAGAAAAACGCGGCAGTCTGCCTCGCGAAGCGAGATATTAATCGTTAAAGTTGACAACTATTTAGGTTTTACCTGTCATATCGATGAAATGTAGCGACATGTACATGCCCCGTAGTCACATGTCGATTAAGCATAATTTTATTGATATTGGAGGTGAGGCCCGTATTCTAAATAAATACCATTATTTTAAACGAGGTAAAATATGATCATATAATCTCAAAGAATATACTTACTTTATTTTTTGTACCCAACGTATCCACATTTTTCGCTGCTCAATTTTATAAATCGCTTTTGGAAAGGAATAAAATTTTATTTCTGAACTTGTATTGTGAAATACATTCTTACACGTGTTCACGCAACAATTTAAATTTCCTTTCCGCAATTTTTCCATTACGATGTATTAGAAAACTCCAGCAAATAATGCAAATTCCGGCCACCATGGGCGCTCTAAGTCCTACTTTTCCGCTATAGTATACCAGCGCACACAGCGAATATATATCGCGAAACTTTGCTTATCCATATTAAATAAGACTACATGCTGATGAGATACTAAATATTTTTACTGAAATATTTGATATTAATAAATCAAACATGCTCCGGTATTTCGCAAACCAAAATAAAATAATGAAGTATATTCCGACGTATATTCTGAAGTTATCTTAGATAAAACTATCTTCTCGGACTAGAATTGCAATGCGAGGTGGCGACCTTAAGGCATTAAAGTGAATCGAGCCTTTTCTAGCCAGCTGAATCCGTGCTTTCAACGTTATTAATCGCGCGGCGGAATTGAGAGGGCTGCAGTTACCTGCGGTGCGGTAGCGATCCATTGAACCTTCGGCTCGAGAGAATTCACCACGTTACTTATTTATCAGACACGTACGGTGTCTCCGTGTGCGCGTACCTACATGTGCGCGAAAGCACACCTCCTTCCGCGCGTTTAAAGAATCGTGCGGATGAACCGCCTCGTGGGAAAAGGGCACTTTCCGCGCGGCCAAGATAGAATCAGGGAGTCGCGGCGATTGGATTGGAGCCTCGACGGAAAAACTTATTGGGATTCCTTGCGGATATAAAGGCTCTATGGAAGTCCTCTGTCAAAGGCGCGACGGGAGATTGATCGATAGTTCCGCGCGGTCTCCGATATACCGATATTAACCCTCGCTCCTCTCGAAATTATATTCGTTTTACTCGACCGCGCGCGAATCTTTATTCGACGTATAATCCACCCCGCGTTGCGAGTATTAATTTCACGCGATGTTGCACCGCGCGCGTAATTACGGAAGAGAAGTCGCGAATATAGCTGACTAAATGCGCATGATGACGTTTTTCGCGGCGGGGGGGGGGGGGGGGGGGGGGCGAAGATAAATTAGGTCGTTGAACACGGGCGCGATTTTCCAGTTAATATATCCTTTTTTCCCTTTTTTTCCACGAAAATTAATTAAATTTAATTAATATTAAATATCAAAACTCACGGTACGCGTATTTTGTTCCACAAATAGATATCTTAATTAATGTTACGGTCATAGCCGCATTTATTGCAGCCCGATTGCATTATTCTTTTTTTTTCTGACACGCTTATATTACGTATCCGCCTTTTGTTGCGCTACTTTTGTTATACGCATTGAAATGGAGAAAATAATTATTTCTGCACGAGAGAGAGAAAAAAAGAAATGAAGAACTTACATTGAGGGAAAGAAATAAAACGATTCGTTCATATGACAAGATTTCGTTGCTTGCCTCCGTGGAAGAAATCAAACGTTACGATCGAGGACGAGGAAAAAGCGTTGACATTTTGGAAACGACGTTGAGACAGTCAGTTGATTTCCGTTCGACCGACATACGATCAGGATCGACGTTTTCTCATCGCAGGGAGGGGGGGAAGGAGGCAGGATAATCCATCTGATAGCGAAACCGGCGCGCCATAAATATCGCAGCAAGCGGAGCGCCTCGATTTTCCTTCTCGTAAATATGCGACTACGTCCGCGTGAAAAATCTCACCGAGGAACGCTCTCTCGGGTTTTATCTTTTCTCACCCGCCGCCGCTACCGCCGCCACCGTTTCTTTGCTTCTATTTCGTAACACCGTCTGCCCACAAGCCCTTTGCTCGCGAGTGTAATAGCAGTTCCGTGCCTGTTATCAAACAGCGGACGATCCTTTTGCGTCGGGCCTTCATTATCGCGCGAGATAAAATCGGGATTACATTTTCTACTTTCGCGATAGACCCGTGAGTACATCTCGATAAACGTGTTTTCTGTATTTTTTTTTTTTTTAATTTAAATTACATATATTGAAGTTATACGTGCGTATTTTTTTTTCGCATGTGGACACATCGGGATACGTTTTATTTATTTTATCTTATTTTTATGGGATTTATTTGAGCGCAGGAAATACGTCTCACAATTTCATATCACAGGGCGGATTTGCTTTGCGATATTTCACACGATATGCCAAGAGCGTGATGGAATTATTGCCTTACGCATTTTTAACGTAAAGGGATGCTCCGTGTGAGCGAGCGCACTCCATGGCTGCGTTATCGCCAATTTTGCGGCGCTCTATAGAACTGCAGATTGCGGCTTCGTCTATAATGCGACGGCGGACGCGTCGCAAATTAGGATGACGCGGGGCTTGCGCACTACGTATATCACGAGAGAAATTCGCGGTGACACTTTATTGATTTCAAGATTATCGCGGTTCTCCGGCGGTGGCACACGACTTTGTCGATGGGAAGAGAACGAAGAGGAGGAGGAAGGGAGCAAGGAGGAAGTCGATTTGGGTTGGAAAATAGTGAAAGATGACGGTGAATGAGGATATTGTATCCACAAGTTCGTAATTGCGACGCTCTTCCCGGTGCGATATTTGCAGGGATTTCCATTCGCGTGGGAAACGTCAATACGGCCAATCGCGAGATGTATTATATATTATCTGTCGCGAAAGTTTATCGACTCTGCAGACGATCGTCCGTCGTCGATTTCCTCTTCTTTGCGACGTCAATTATATACGCGACGTGGATTTCAATGATGCATGAAAGATATAATTTTTTAAAAAGTAAATATAATTTTTGCAATTGCACTATTTTTAGTTTGACGAAATGATGCCAAGCGTTAATTATAAAGCGTTCCTCTAATTTTTACATTGCGCGCATATTTGTATTTTTTTTTAAATAAAATAAAGTTAAAAATTTTTGAGTGTCGCAATCTTTTCGTCGTAAATAGTTGTTTAGTCGTCGCTTATGTTTAGTTCGATTAGCTCAATTTAATCGATTCTTTTAAAGCTTATAATTGCAGCATTATAGAGGTAAAGTCTAAAATTAATTAGACACGTTTATTATACATATCAGAATTCAAATAGACATTTATTTTTTATTTAATTTGCCGTATTACAATTAATTGTAACTAATCCAGGTCGTTATTAATACGCTAATTGACATTGAAAAATGTGAGCGTTCTGCTATAGCATAAATATCATGTAAACGCCGGCTGGCAGCTGAAAATATGTTCTCCAATATCAATGCATCGCTTCCGCCGTCAAAACTAATAATGTTTACGGACTCATACATGCAGACAGAAAAGATTAATATTCCCGATCCACTCTCTCCCCCTCGCTCTCCCTCTCTTTACGCCCATCCACGTCAAATGTTGTTGTTACAAATTGCACGGCGACTGTTTATTCGTTCGAAATGCGTAGCGTGGAAAATGCATTGTTGCATCGAACGCGGATTTTCCATCTCAGACGATGTATTTTCTTGTGTTCCCGCTTCCCGCGCTTGCGAGAAGTTATCACGTTTCGATGGAGCATATCGAATAAAAAATCTGTTCAACGCGTAATTTAATATTGTGCAAAACAGTATTCATTTCGAAATCATTTGAAACAATTATTACAATCGATGATATATCTATCTCAAAACAACCGATATCTAAACAATTTTCAAATTTACATGTAATCTCATTTATGTAAACGATTTTCTAATAAAAAAAACCATGGTCCATTCGTCGAGATCGATTTAGATCGCACAGGTTTAATTTGGACGACATTAGTCTGACACGAATGCTGTATCCTTGCGTGTCACTATTCCCCATGTCTTCGCACGTGACGTCCGGATCGATCGGGACAAACAAAGCCGCTCGCGATCCGTTATTCGGTGATTTCTCGCGGATAACGGACGGTCTATCCCGCTTTATCCGGACCTTCCGGCCGGGGTGAACTTTCATAAAAGAATTCAAATTAGCCGACCACGTCGGAATTTAACTATCCCCCCCCCCCCGAGTCGGTGGGGGCTGACTGATGAAATTTTCGCCTCGGAGTATTGAACTCGCCGCGCGCGCTCCGGTTCTCTCCTCCGCTCCGCGTCCGCCCGTGCTTCTCCATCGCCGATCGAAGTCGACGTGTGCCTTATTTTTATACTATCGATTTAGTCCGCTTTGACGACGGACCTTGCATTATTCAGCGATTCCTTCTCAGCTCTCGCGAGCTTTCGTTCTCGTCGTACGTATACACAGGATGTTAAACATACAGGATGGTACTCTCGCTTTAATCCTGGCCGCGTCTGGCACGTCACCTGCTCACACTACTTACACCACCGACACGGTATTAATTATTTCAGTAAATTGCGCCCCGCGAGGCGATCGATTTTTCCACGGATAATCCGGCAAATAGGATCCGCTGTCCTTTTATTTTTCGCAGGATCGACGCGGAAGCTATTTCTTTCCCTTGTGCGCAACCTATTAATTTACAGACCTGACGAAGAAAAGAAGACAAACTTAATCGTATTTCAAGAGGAAAAATGTAACGAGGATACGGTGTAGTTCTGACAAACGTAAAAGACGTAACGTTTCCATTTTTCTTTATTTTCTTTTCGGTTTAATTTAATTCCAGAAGCATTGAATTATTTATAACATTGAAAATGATACATAATTGGTGAAAAACATTAACTATCATATATCTGTTTTCTGCCCCAACGTTAATATTTGTTTGGATATAAGTTTATACCAAAACAATGTAACGTTTCGTAATTAAATTATTTTCGTGGCAAAAATGATATAGAGTTTCCGAATGTATGTGCAACGTTTTATAATCCCACTCTTGCGATTAGTTGAAAATATTATTTTTATACAAATACGAATCAAAATACGAATTTTATACATTAATATATAAAGTATAATTTCAACAAATCTATTCTGTACATGATGACGAGATAATTGAAAATTTTCAATTTTCTATGTGCAAACGTGGATATGCTTTTACTAGGTGTACTAAAGAAATGCAGCCGAGATATCCTTAGGATATGGTGATGACGAAACGCGCTTGTACGTGACACGTACTTGCGCGTTCCTTCTCGCGTAAAACGTGGGTAAACATATCGCATGCGCAACATGTGCATCTGATGGCTGATAAATACGTCACGTTATTTAATGTCAGAATTATCTAGATCGCGGTTGACACTTATACTTTCTACTCGCTATCGTATTTGAAATATTTTTGCGACACATTTTAAAAACATA